AGGTCCCATTAAATTGGTTCCAACACGGCGACGAAGAAGAGGGTTGTAGCAGCACTGTGTGGTCGTCAAACCTTCTGCATCCTCCCAGATCTATTCTTCATCTGGTTTTATGGGTGAAAATGAATCACCATTTTTTTTTTGGAATTGAAACCTCTGATCTATTCTTCATATGGTTTTATTGGTGAACACGAAGCAACAATTTTTTTTTTTTTTTTGGGAATTAAAACTTCAGATATGTTCTTCATCTAGTTTTATGGGTGAACACGAAGCACCAATTTTTTTTTTTTTTTTTTTTTGAAACCTCAAATCTGTTCTTAATCTGGTTTTATGGGTGAACACAAAGTACCAAATTTATTTTTTTGGGAATTAAAACCTCGAATTTATTCTTCATCTAGTTTTATGGGTGAGCCTGAAGCACCAAATTTTATTTTTTTTTGGAATTGAAACCACAAATTTGTTCTTCATCTATTTTTATGGGGGAACACGAAGCACCAATTTTTTTTTGGGAATGAAAAGCTCAGATCTGTTCTTCATATTATGGGAGCTTAAAAAAAATTAACAATGGGTACAGTAGTTAATCTCTATAAAACTCAAGGTAGAGTCCATTCAATTCAATTGTTCCTTGCAAAACAATGGTTTGGGTTGAATGTCATACATAACTCATTCAATTAAGTGCTTGAGTGAATTTGAATGGGATAGATTAAGATACAACAAATTTAATTCATTGTTATCCTTATCGATAATCCAAACACACCCAAGGTGCTCTAGTGACTGTCACATCCTCCCACTTAGTGGGGCACGACACATGGCCCTACACACGGTTGATTGCACTAGACTTACCTTTCAATGAATCGTAATTTAGATGTACTAATTTAAGTTATCAGATTTAACGATCTAAAATTCCAAGGGATGAGTTCTTGCACTAGATTACTCTTTTTATACATTATTAATAACGTGTCTCCATCAAGATTATCGATAAAAATCATGAAAGAAAGGGTTAGAAGAGATTACCTTAAGATCACCGCATGTCCCTGTTATAAGACAGCCCTTCTAAATAGGCTTGTCAGGGAATTGAGTTCTGAATGATGGAATTCTGAATTTAATTTAAAAACTCTAATCCAAACATCTGACAAATTACTTTTTCATATTCAACTTTCAAAATGAGTTAAAAAGCAAAAATCCAATCTGAGTTGAATGATTCAATTAGTGTTGAATTTTAGGAAATCATATCTAAAATTCAATTTAATATTATCATGGGAGCTTCTGGTGTCTTTAGGGTTTCTCCTCCTATCTTTCCTGTTGTGTTTTGTGATGATTACGTGGACTCACAACAATTTATATATCACTCATAGTTGAGTGTTTTATAGAATATGCTTATACGAGGTTTCTTAGAGAGAAAGTTATATAAATAGGTAGTGTTAAGAATCAAAGTAATAGATACAAAAGAGATTACCTATTCTGTGATGATGGTGTTTAAGTAGTTAATATATGAAAATTTCAAACTCAAATCTCACAAAAATGGTGCATTCAATACACATAAACTATAGGTGATTACATGTATTTCGTATTTACATATTAATTTCAACTAATTCAAATATCACATGATTGAAACACTTCATAATTATGGAAAAAATATATTAAATAAGTTGGAAAGGGCAGTCACTACAATTAATGATATGCTTAGTTTGGAGTAAATATTGGATACAATGGTAATACCACATCATAAATGTCACGTAATGTCACAAATCAATTATAAAATAATAAATAGGATCGGTGAACCCCACTATTTTTACATGACAAAGGTTGTTATTGCAATAATTAAAGTAAAGTCAATAAATTTTTATCAATAATTAATGACTATAAATAATTAGGAAAACTTTTATCCACACCCCTTAAAATTAGGTTTAAATTCAATGACACTTTTTCCCGTTTCTAAAACTTCATTGTCACCCCCTGTCAGTATTTGTCGAGTTACGGTGTTAACGACAATTGTTAATTTATAGAAAAATTCATAAATATTTTATAGGATAAATTTAATTCACACTATTTACAAATAGACATAACTTCAACGATACCCCCTATAAATAGACATATCTTTAACAATATCCTCTCATGATTCTGAAATTTCAATACACTCCCTTTTAATTCTATTATATTAACATTTAGGTTTATCAATTTATTATTTAATTTTATCAAATTAATGTCATTTTTAAACTAAATTAAAATTTCATCTCATCATATCAACACAAATTGATATTTAATTTTATCAAATTAGCATTTAGTTATATTAATTTAATATTTTATTTCATCAAATTAATATTATTTGTTTAATTTAACATTAAATTATTATTTAATTTCATCAAATCCACTACAAATTGACATTTAATTTTATTAAATTAAAATTTAATATATATTAAATAGAATATTAAATTTCATTAATTTAACATTTAACCTTATCAAATTAATGTCAGCTATTTGATTTAATACCAAATGAACATTCAATTTTCTTAAAGCATTATTTAAATTTATTCAGTTAATATTAAATTTTATCAAATCAACACTGAATATAAATATTAAATTAACACCAAATTAATATTTAAATTATCAAATGAAGACCAAATTTATTCAATTATTTCAAATAATATTTTAATTTTATATATGAAGGGTGATGTATGAAAAGTGGTCAGGTGAGGTTATGGAAGATAGTTGATAACAGAAGAGTTAGAAATAAATAAGATTTTAACATAGAATTTATTGATTATAATTTTTATTATAAAAAAATTATTTTTAACTATAAAAATTATAAAAACTCAATTATTTTACTAAATGAGTGATAATATGATTACTAATATTATAACAAAGTTATCATGCAATGCTTTAAAATGATAAAAATTCATTGGGATAGTATAGTGATAAGAATCACGCTTATGTCAACCTCCTCATCTCCTATGTCTTTATCTCCACCAACAATTGAAGAAGACATCAATTCTATAATAATACATCACAACATATTGACATAACAAAATATGGAAAAAAAAAAATTAAAAAACGTGCATGTACAAAATTTTAAAAAAAATTGCATGAAAAAATTTTAAATTTGTAAAAGAAAAAAATTTAAAATATCTGAATGAAAAAAATTAAAAAAAAAACTACTAAATTTTTTTTAAAAATTTGGATGAAAAAAATTAAAACTATTTGTATGAAAAAAATTTAAAAAATTGCATGAAATTTTTTTAAAAAATCTGCACAAAAAACATTTACAAATCTATAAAAAAAAAAAAAAAAAAACCCAACTTAGATAATGATCAATCACTATAGAGAACGAATTGAAGAAGAATAGTTGGCTTCAATTCCCTATGTCTTCCAACAAAACTAGATCGTTTTTGAACTTTAGCAACAACAAATGATATGGTATATATAGTGGAAAAAAGATTGAAGGCATTTTACTATATTTATATAAGGAATGATAGTTTTTATTTTGTTTTGAAACTTTATAGTCAAACCCTTACTTTTTATATTTGCAAAGTTAAAAATTATCATTAAAGGGGTGTCTTTAATTTGAAAGTATAAATCAGAAGCAAGTGCAGTGAAGTTTCAGAATTAGGAGAGGGTGTTATTGAATTTAAACCTAACTAGAGCAGGTGTGAATAGAATTTTTCCGAATAATTAAGTTAATAAATTTTGTCCAAGTAACATTGGTGTTTATAAAAACAAATAAACCAAATGCGGCCCAGAAAGTGATATTTATAAAAAAAGTTGACCAAAAAATTTACTAAATAAAATTTAAAGGTTAGATCAATAGTTCCTAACCAAATAAATAAATAAATCTCATTGATCTAACCATCAACATTTTAGATAGGAAAAATGATTTTTTACAGGCAGCTTGCAAACCAATTGTTTACCGGCAATCAATTAAAATATGACAGTTACACAAACATTCTTAGTGTAATTATCAAATTTTGATTGGTTGTCTGTAAATAATTTGTTTACAGTTTGTGTATAAAAAATTTATTTTTCTCTTGATAGTCCAGCTACCATCACATCCCAATATGTGATTAAGGTTGCAAGAATCGAGTAGGTTTTGATATGAAAAAAAATTAAAAGCAAAAATAAAAAAAAATATTAATATAAAAACAAACGCTACTTAAAAAAAATTCTTATAATAGTTTTTACTATTATATATAATAAAAATAATTATTTCAGTGATAAAAATATCTATTACAGTGATAAAAATACTCAGAAATGTGATAAATTACTGACAAAAATGAAAAACAATTTGTACTAAAAAATAGCAAAAATAATTTTTACAATTGTGAAAAAAAAATTTACAAAAGTGATAAATTTTTTAGTTATAAAATGACCCACAAAAATTATAAAAGCACTTATTAAAGTAATAAAAGTTAGAAGTATAAAACAAAAAAAAAATTTCAATACCGTAGTCAACTCCTTCTTTGGGAGCAATTTGCAAATTGATGGCTATTTCCATATGAAATGGTTGTCAACTTTTTTCATCGTTGATATTAAATAATAAATATTAGTATCTCATGGGGTGCGTTATGTTCTATATTTTTTCTCTTTGATCATATCAAAAGATAAAGAAATATAAAGTCAAGCCGTGGTATGTAGACATTAGAGAATAGAGGCTTCTGTGGAAACTGATGATCTTGAACTTATCTAAACTTTAAAAACAATTGACAACGTTGCCCGACAACAATGGGTAGTACATTTAACTTGACGTGAAATTTTATTCGAACGACAGTGACATAGGAAGATTCCGTTTGAGTTCCTTTTGGTCAAGGATTAGATTATTGCATTTGTTTATTTCCGATTCTTCGACCGTTGAAAATTCATACAAATATGATAAATAAATGCATGCTAATGATTTTTTTTTTTCTAATACCACAGACAACTCCCCCAAAGAGTACACGGTTTTGCTTGTAAAACCCAAACCTCATATTGGAAACATACCCCAACCTCATTGAGTACTTTAAACCTTTTCAATGGAAAACCACCACCACCACAACCATAACCATAACCAGAATGACCGAAGAGAAGGCCACAAAATAGTTGTGGTAATGGTGCCACTACCAGCTCAAGGCCACCTCAATCAGCTTCTCCACCTTTCCCGTCTCATCTCATCCTACGGTATTCCCGTCCACTACGTCGGAACCACCACCCACAGCCGCCAGGCCAAGCTGCGCATCCACGGATGGGATCCTCTCGCCGCCACAAACATCCATTTCCATGAATTTCCAACCCCTTCTTTTCTCTCTCCCCCGCCCAACCCTAATGTCTCCTTCCCATCACATATTTTGCCATTATTTTATGCATCATTGAGGCTTCGCGAGCCTGTTGGTACACTTCTACGCTCACTATCAAATACAAGTAAAAGAGTCGTCGTCATTCATGACTCTCTAATGGCTTCCGTCGTGCAAGACGTCCCTTCAATACCGAACGCCGAGTCTTACAGTTCTGAAAGCGTATCAGCTTTTTTCATCTCCTTGTTCCACTGGGAAACGGGAAAACCTATCCCAATTGAACCGGAAATATTAAAAGAGGCTCCATCTCTCGAAAGTTGTGTGACATCGGAGTTTATGGAATTTTTACAAACACAAGAACAGCACGGGAGATTCAACTCTGGATCTCTTTACAACACATCCAAATCAATAGAAGATCCGTACCTCGATATGCTAGCAGAGGACCAGATTATTGGAACTAAGAAGCAATGGGCTATAGGGCCATTCCATCCGGTTGAAATATCGAAGGACGAAGGTTCAAATAGGCGTCATTCATGCTTGGAGTGGCTTGACAAACAGGTTCCAAAATCTGTGATTTTTGTATCTTTTGGAACCACCACTTCATTGTCTGACGAACAAATCAAAGAGCTTGCAATTGGATTAGAACAAAGCGGGCAAAACTTCATCTGGGTGTTGCGAGATGCAGATAAAGGAGATATATTTGCAGGAGAAGTTAGAAAAGCTGAACTGCCAAAAGGGTACGAAGAGAGAGTGGCAGGAAGAGGAATAGTGGTGAGAGACTGGGCACCACAATTGGAGATTCTGGGGCATCCGTCAACAGGTGGTTTCATGAGTCATTGTGGGTGGAATTCATGCATGGAGAGTATGAGCATGGGAGTGCCAATAGCAACCTGGCCAATGCATTCAGACCAACCAGCCAATGCTCTGCTGATAACAAAGGTGCTTAAAGTGGGTCTGGCGGTGAAGGATTGGGCTTGCAGACATGAGATTGTGACGTCATTAATGGTGGAAAATGCTGTTAAAAAGTTGATGGCGTCAACCGAAGGAGGCGAGATTAGGAAGACGGCCATAGATTTGGGTGGTTCTATTCGGCAATCTGTGGAACACGGCGGAGTTACTCGTATGGAGTTGGATTCTTTTATTAGTCACATCGCTAGATAGATTTGTTTGTCCCCACATCAGCAAGTGGGCTGTAGAATTATGTGGTTCTAGTTCTATAGTGATTTGTCTCTTTTTGCCTAGCCAACATCCTTGAATCTTCACAAGCAGATACAAAAACATCCCTCTCCTATATAGTTTACATTCAAGATTGAAACTTTTTACTATGGGGGAAAAATAATAAAAATTCTTAATCTCACCAATCTCTTAAAAATTCTTCAATGTTTAAAGAATGGAATATTAAAAAAAAGGCAATAATCTAATCCTTCACACATGGAAATAAAATGAAATATTTATAGAAGTGATTTTTGTTCACGTATAGTTAGACGTCTTTTGAATTAGTGGTTGTAACGTCAACTCAGAAATAAATGTAATCTTTTGGAACCCAAACATTTACCTTGAGAGACTCTTAACTTCAATACTTATAAAAATCTTCTGTATGTTGTTCTTTAAATTATATTGTCTAATCTCCGAAAGTCTAGAAATTCTGATTGGGATTTCAGTGATTTTCTATCCCCTAAACAATCCGCCTCTGTTCAGCTGTGTAAGACACACCATCCAAAATGATGCATGTGTCTATTTATTATCTGTACTGTAATCATGGTTGTAATCTAGAAAAATCTTCAATGGTCAATGTATCCAGAATAAACAAATGCAATAGTCCATTCTTTTACCATATGACAATCAAATGTTCAAGTTAAAGACTATCGACAACGTTTGTGCAACGTTCCTAATTGTTGCTGAATTCCTCCCTATACGGCAAGCCAAATTGAAGGAAAAACCAAGTTCAAGAACAGCAAGTATTCCCTAAAGTAAGCAATGACATCACACAATTTCAAACCCCCCCCCCCCCCCACCAGTATGATATAACGAATAAATTAGATAGGAGAAAATTTGAGATGTATTATGAGACGTGGTCGTTATTAGTACTATTTTATTGTAATTTTTTTTATATTGCACTAATAAATAATTATCTCAACCATTGATTTGTTGTACTAGTAGCCACAACATGAATTTTGGATACACACAATAACCTAAAAATTAATCGTATCTACTAAATCAGGTCATCTCTTAAGAGATTCAACTTCACATAATTATAATCCCAAGTCATTTCCATCTTAAATTCTAAATTACCGAGATGTGTTTACTAGTGGAATAAAATTGGTACTTTGTAATAACAACGGAAACATCATGGTAGTTCTTTTATACATATTAATTATAATCATCAAACATATTATAAATACGTTAATTTGAGAAAGTTGACAACGATTTGCATTGCAAGTGTCTTATAAAGCCCAAATCACCAAATTGAAACACAATCAAACCTCATTAAGTACCCATTCCTTCCCGATGGACAACCATAACCCCCACCACCACAATCATGGCCAAAATAGCCTAAAAGAAACACAAATAGCAGTGGTAATGGTGCCGATACCATCTCAAGGCCATCTCAACCAGCTTCTCCACCTTTCTCGTCTCATCTCGTCTTATGGTATACCAGTCCACTATGTCGGAACCACCACCCACACCCGCCAAGCCAAGCTGCGTGTCCATGGTTGGGATCCTCTCTCCGTCAACAACATCCATTTCCATGAATTTCCATCCCTCTCCTTTCTCTCTCCCCCTCAAGACCCCAACGTCTCCTTCCCATCGCATATTGTGCCATTACTTTATGCATCATCGAAACTTCGTGATCCTGTTGCCACACTTCTAAACGCTCTCTCAACTACAACTAAAAGAGTCGTCGTCATTCACGACTCTCTGATGGCGTCACTTGTCCAAGACATCCCTTCAATATCGAACACGGAGTCCTATAGTTTCCATAGTGTCTCTCCTTTTTCTTCTTGCTTGTTCCTCCGGTATTGGGAAGACCTGTCTCAATTGGACAAGATATACAAAAAGAGGCTCCATCAATGGGAAGCTGTGTAACATCACAGCTCATTGAATTTAGTCAAACACAACAAGAGCACAAGAATTTCAACTCTGGAACTCTTTACAACACCTGCAAAATAATAGAAGATCCATAACTTGACATACTTGCAGAGAACCAAACTGATAGAACTAAGAAGAAATGGGCTATTGGGCCATTTAATCCAGTAGAGATATGGAAGAAGAACAAAAATTCCAGTACCCGCCACCCATGCTTGAAGTGGCTTGACTAACAGCTTCCAAAATCTGTGATTTTTGTATCATTTGGAACCACCACTTCATTATCTGATGATCAAATCAAAGAGCTTGCAATCGGATTAGAACAAAGCGGGCAAAAATTCATCTGGGTGTTGAGAGATGCAGATAAAGGAGATATATTTGAAGGAGAGGCTAGAAAAGCTGAACTTCCAAAAGGGTACGAAGAGATAGTGGCAGGAAGAGGAATAGTGGTGAGAGACTGGGCACCTCAATTGGAGATTCTGGGTCATCCTTCAACAGGTGGTTTCATGAGTCATTGTGGGTGGAATTCATGCATGGAGAGTATGAGCTTCGGAGTGCCAATAGCAACCTGGGCAATGCATTCAGACCAACCAGGCAATGCTCTGCTGATGACGAAGGTGCTGAGAGCGGGTCTGGTGGTGAAGGATTGGGCTTGCAGACATGAGATTGTGACCTCATCATCGGTGGAAAGGGTTGTTAAAAAATTGATGGCGTCAACCGAAGGAGACGAGATCAGGAAGAGGGCGGCAGATTTGGGTGGTTCTATACGGCAATCTGTGGAGGATGGCGGAGTTAGTCGTATGGAGTTGTCCCCACATCAGCAAGTGGGCAGGAGAATTGTGTTGTTCTATTCTGATTTGTCTTTTTTTGCCTAGCCAACATTGTTGAATAGGGCTAATAACATTTTTTTTTATCTTTTTAAGTATTTGTGTTTTGTCAGTTTAATCTTTAATATATAATTTTTTTTAATTTGGTATATAAAATATTTAATTTATATTTAAATATTTCCTAACCAAACAGTATATTAATATTTTTTTTAAAAATAATCATGTATCATTTTTTCAGATATTATCACGTGGCTAAATAGAGTAAATCATTCTAAACATTAAGCTGCCCTGTTTCTCGTATGAATAATGTTACACTGATCAAATTTTGGAACTAAATATAGAATCCAAATGACATGACAATTGATTATTTTAAATTTTTATTGGGACCCAAATGATATGATATCAATTAAAGAAGTCCAAGTCAATTGTCATATCATTTAAACTCTAAATTTAATCCCAAAATTTGATTAGTCTAACATTATTGTTCTCAGAGATGACTGCATGGCCTGGATTCCTGAAGCATCAGCAAAGTTTCCTACTAATTCTACGTACACCATTCAGAGAGGTACACTTGACAAGCACAACCCTTATCTGAGTTCTATTTATAAGACGAAGTGTATGAATAAGTGGTTCGTTCTATTAAATTTAATTTTAATAAAATATTTTGTGATTAGAAATAAAATTCAAATAATCTTTTATTTATTTTACTTACTTACCATTCCTTAAATTATACATCATTCTTATTCTTTCACTCTCTCTCCCTCCCTCCTTATTTCTCATAATGCTATTCTCTCTCTCTCTCCATCGAGTATACTTACACTCCTCCCTAATTTTTTTCTCTATCTCCCCTCGTTACTCTATCTCTCCCCTATTTTTTTCTCTCTACCTATTTTCTCTCTATCTCTCTCCCCTATTTTCTCTCTGTCTCTCTCCGTTACTCTCTTTCTTCCATTGAAAATTTATTTTCTTTTCAAATATGTAAAAATTTGATTTGATTTTTTCATCTCTCTCTTATTTTTTTTCTCTCTCTCTCCCCCTATTTTCTCTCACTATTATTCTCTCACCCCCTATTTCCTCTCACTATTACTTTCTCTCCTTATTCTCTATCTCTTAATTAACATTTCAATTACACAATTATACCAATCAGTTTCACTTGTCCTATAATATACCAAACAATTACTCATGTGTTATGATAAACCAAACAGTTACATCAAACAATTACACAAAATTACGACACCAACCCAATTTGTTATTCAATTGTTTACATAAACCAAATCGTTACATCATTTAGTTAACTTGTTTTTCTTCAGACGCAATTGGGTTCTTTTGTTAACTTGTTCCTGTTTTGTTGTGTTTTTAATTCACTTTTCTTTCTGTCAATGTAGGGGTTAACCATGGTTTCAGTGGTCTGGTCGATTAGAAAAAAACAATATTGTCCATTGAAAACATATTTTTTCCCTTGTCACTCAACAAAAAGGTCATTTGATTGAAATAGAAGGGAATGTGTATTGGAGAACCTCTGAATCAATGAACACTAGACTAATTACATTGGGTTAGAAATAGGGGTGGCTTGGCGTTATTAGGGGCCCAGGCAAAATTGATAGATGAGGAGGCCCCATAAAAAATTAACGCATTAATATATATATATATATATATATATATATATATATATATATATATATATATATATATATATATATATATATATATATATATATATAAAGTGCTAAATAAAAATCAAGTTACTGGAATACATTCTTTGGAATTTTTTTAAGATGCAGAGACACTAATTAAAGTTGTAAATTCAAGTTTTACTAATATATGCATTTTAATATACAATATTGCTAATTTATTCATTCGTTGATTAGATTTTATCAATTTCAATTTTAAAAAAATTCTCTTTGTAGGAGACACTATTATTAATATTTTTATAGGGTACACATGCATTTGAAATGGATCTATTCTGACACTAAGATCTAATCATTAGCCTTTTTGATCAATAGATTGCTATTTGCAAATCATATAAAAGCTCAAATCAATTATAAGGGTAGGGTATTTTGCAAATATATTTATCTATCTATTATATTTATGAATTTATTTATCAAACCACGATACTTTTTAAACAGCGAAGGAGTTATTGTTGACTCTGTTTTTTGTTCAATGATAACATTAATGCTAGTTGAACATAATTCACTATAATCATTGGATTAAAAAAGTGAGTTGTATATAACATTAAAACTCACAACTAATCTACTTACTATATTGAATTGGGTATCTAAATTAATTATATATCAAAATAATTGTAAAACAAAAATTATAGAATCTTACAATGGATAAAGTGTCACTAGCCCTGTGCAAAAACAAAAGGAAAAAAATGTAATGAATCATTAGAAAACCACATATTTGTCTCCAAGTTTTCTTAAAAACGAATAGCCCTGGACTTAGAGGACAAAAATTATGATTAAATTGAGGGATTGAACGATGTGACAGTGCTTACTAATCTAAATACGACTGAAATCAAATTCGATCAAAATTAAGATTTTGTTTGGCCCCTAAATTTAGTATTATGCCCAGTTGACAAGAAGACTTAATCAACTGGGCATAACATAATTGGTAATTTTTAATTCCCTAAATATTCTTTTGATTTAGGAATCAAAGGGTCAATTCTTATTGATTCCTCAAATGCATGTGGAAAAACCATATATATAATTAATAGGGGTCCTAGAATTAAATGAAATCAACTATCAATTCAATAAAAATAATATATTAGATTTTTAACTTAAATTATCAATTTAGGTACAAATAGTATTATAGAAGGAGCATTATTTTTTTTTAATTTTTGATATTACAGTCAGAGTTTTCGGACCAACTTACGCACACATTGACTAATTTTCTCCCTGATTTAATCAAAGGCAAGTCATGCACGTGAAGACTAAAGAATTCACAAGGAATTATCCACATAATCTGGCCCCATAAAAGTTGCAAAGTTTCAAATTTAAGACGTTTAAATTTACGATTCCTCCATATTTCTATGGGAAGTATTCCTTTTATATAAGAGGCCTCTTTGTATTTTATTCTCATAAGGGATGAGAGTGATTTGGAGAAAAATAAGTATTTGTCTAAATTCGTCCTGTTTGAATCAAAAATAGATTATACATATTAAACGTTAAATGTATACAAAAAATATTCATATAAATTTGTGCAGAAATAGAAATAAAAATGAAGTAGAAATGAATTGATTCTCATCCTTGCCCCGCTACGCCCCATCTTCATAAATTCATTAAATCTATATAATAAAACATCTTATATTTTAAATTTTTATCGCATACACACTTTTCCCCTAAATCTATTGCATCCTCTCTCTGACCTCACAAGGGTCATTTGGCCTGTCCGACACTCAAGGGTCATGCCCTCTGCCACTGTCCGGACTAATGTCTCACGCCATAACTCTCTCCTCCCTCCCCCAATTTCTCTCTCTCTCTCTCTCGACGATCAAACACTCTCCCCTACGCCACCAGTCCACGCCCTGCAGCGTCGCAGTGTCTTCTCCGCTGTCGCCGGGCCCAGCACTTCCTCGATTTTACACTCTCTCCCTCCCCCCATCCGCGACAACCTTACCTCTCTTTCTCATCTCTGCGCCCCTCCCTCTCTCACACCGAATTCCCGAAGCACCAATATGTCTCCCTTTCTCCAGCTTTCTTTGCTCATCTCCTTCATCTCCCCCCATCTCTCTGTCAGATCTCCTTCACAACACCATCTTCTGCCGCCACCACAACCCCACCCTGCCTCACGACACTAACCGACGCCGTACCAAAAGCTTTGCAACTTTTCTTTCTCTCTCTCTCTCATCCTCGCACACACTGCCCCCCTTTCTCTCAAAATCGTACTGTTAATGCTGGCTATAAGCTGTTCGATTAAATGGCCTAAAGGTTCTTGACACATTCTTTGTTTTTTACACACACACTCACCTGGAGAAAATATATAATGTATATATGTTCATAGCACATAAAGAATGTTGTGAAATTGTTCGAGACTTCTAATGTTCTGAATTGGTTTGGTTCTGAATTGAAA